TTTAGTTTGCCATCAAAGAGTCTTCTGTTTCTCACCTTCCAGATGTTTCTAAGTCGTATGCATCAAAGCACCACAATCGTTCTCCTTTGTCTTGCCTTGTGGCTCTGCAGGAAGCCAACCACAAATCTTCTAATGTTTCATCCTCGGGCTGAGGCACTGAATTATGCTGTAAACTTGCATATAACTAACTATTAGTAAAAATATATAAAATTTGAGTTTCTTCTATGTTTAAAATATGCTTATCATTCCTGGACGTGGGGAGTAATCCAATGCTACTGATGGTTGTGCACTGCCATATAAACCTTTTTTGTGTCTAACTGATGCTGCCCGGAATTGTGCATGATAGGCTGCTTTTGAAACACAAGAATCCTTCAGAGTTCGAACTGCATATTAAGCTGTTCAACGTGTGGAATTTGCTTTGATAATTTGACGTGTCTCCTGATCTATATTTTCTTCAATCTGACACTTTGATTCAATGGTTTCAGCTCCAAAATGCAATCCTTCAAAATACCTATCTGGAGATTGTGGTAAGACGATCCAAATCGTCCTTCTCGTGGCAGGTAATATAAGTTGCTCATAATATCTACTACCTGATTCAGAATAATATCCCTGCTGAAGGAGGGAATACTCCTAGGAAAGTAAGGTTAAATCAGGCCCGCCTATTGTGTTTTCCGCAGAAGGCCCAATAAATTGACCTACATGATCCACGTTTGCGGATTGGGTTAGATTATCGTGGCAGTCCAGTCTGTACTGGGCTGGGCTTCATTTTCCGAGACGTTCACACCACTGTTCATCTGAACATGAATTTGTACGTGCGCAGGGATCATGTTTGGCGCCATGGTGACGTGCGTGAGCTGCCTGGCGTACCAACTGCTGAAGCGCCGGTCCGCGTCCATCCGTACGAAGCGCAGTACGAAGCAGTTCCTGTCCGAGGCCTCCTGCGCGGTGCCCCTGTACTCGTACCGCGAGATCGAGCGCGCCACGGGCGGCTTCTCCGAGGAGAAGCGGCTGGGCACGGGCGCCTACGGCACCGTGTACGCTGGGCGGCTGAGCGACGACCGCCTGGTGGCCGTGAAGCGGATCCGGCCGCGCGACAACGGCGGCGGGGTGGACTGCGTGATGAACGAGGTGAAGCTGCTGTCTTGCGTGTGCCACAGCAACCTGGTCCGCCTCCTCGGCTGCTGCATCGAGCAGGGGCAGCAGATCCTGGTGTACGAGTTCATGCCCAACGGCACGCTGGCGCAGCACCTGCAGCGGGAGCGAGGCCCCGCCGCGATGCCCTGGACGGTCCGCCTCCGCATCGCCGCCGAGACGGCCAAGGCCATCGCGTACCTGCACTCGGAGGTGCACCCGCCCATCTACCACCGCGACGTCAAGTCCAGCAACATCCTGCTCGACTACGAGTACAACTCCAAGGTCGCCGACTTCGGGCTGTCGCGGATGGGCAACATGGGCATGGGGGACTCCTCGCACATCTCCACGGCGCCGCAGGGCACGCCGGGCTACGTCGACCCGCAGTACCACCAGAACTTCCACCTCTCCGACAGGAGCGATGTCTACAGCTTCGGCGTCGTGCTGGTGGAGATCATCACCGCCATGAAGGCCGTCGACTTCGCCAGGGCGCCCAGCGAGGTCAACCTGGCGCAGCTCGCCGTGGACAGGATCGGCAGGGGCTGCGTCGACGACATCGTCGACCCGTACCTGGACCCGCACAGGGACGCCTGGACGCTCTCGTCCATCCACAAGGTGGCCGAGCTGGCGTTCCGGTGCCTGGCGTTCCACAGCGAGATGAGGCCGTCCATGACCGAGGTCGCCGACGAGCTGGAGCAGATGCAGCGCAGCGGGTGGGCGCCATCGGCTGACGACGCCGCGTTCATGTCGACGTCGTCGTCGATCTCCTCGTCCGTAGCGTCGACGCGCGGCACCGACAGGTCGTGGGGTGCCGGCAGAAGCCGGACGGAGAGGGCCGCGGTGAATGCTTCGTTGGTCGTGCAAGAGACGGCGGCGAAGGGCGCAGTGGAGTCCCCTGTGTCCGTGCAGGAGAGGTGGTTCAGCGAGAGGAGCTCCCCTTCCTCCAACAGCTTGCTGGGCAATTGCTCCGTGCACTGAACTGAAACATCCAATTGCTCGTCCTCTATACTCCAAGTTTCAGCTAGCTAGCTTAGATATACATTTAAGAACGATGCATCTGTTGATCTGTTCTTGCGCGTCGTTCGTTCCCTCTTCCCTCCAGTTAATCTGGGACTATCTGTACATGAAATTCAGTCTTGGCTAGGAACAGAGCCAAGGCAGCAATTGGTTGAGGGTGTAGATATACATACATACAAGCCACCTAAGTTCAAAGTCTGCATCGAATCGAATTTTGATGCTTATTTCTTCTTAATATAAAACCAGGTCGGTTCTCCTAGGTTGCTTCAGTTTTAAAATCTAGTCTTCTGTCGGTACTCGAGTAAATCAATGGCTGACGTTGCCAAGGCATGTTCGTGAAAAAAAAATCAATGGCTGACCGGATTTGCATCTTGTTCGTTTATGCTAAAATTTGGCTTATACTGATACATATGTTGAAATGTTACGAGAATAAAACACTGTTCCATAGCCAGCTCAAACGAACAGGGTGTTGGCTTCAGCGAGACATCGAAGTAACTTCTGCACCTTTACGTGAGCTCTGTTCTACCATTATGCAAGTGTTGGCTCCATTGGCATGTGGGTGAGGAAACAACAAGAATGCATGGGACCTGGCTGATTACTAGTGGTCCATTTGTCGAACAGACTATCCCATCGATTATGTTTATCATTTTCTGTGTTACTGACTTACTATCCGCAGGAGTTTTGGAGGAATCTGAAAATTTTCCTTTGTCACCGAACTGCTGTGTTTTGTCCACAGGCTCCATCAAAATGTTCATTATCGCAGTTTGTATGTATTTTTCAATCCACTACGATTCCAAATATTAGCGCCTTCTATTCCATTTGTACGGTTCTGTTATTTCCGTCTTTGTAGAATCCTACGTACCTTCCAAGAGGGCCTAAGTTCCATGGGGGGAACGCGAACGTGAGGACAAATCTTTGAAGAGTTCTTCTAGCTAGTGATGACGTCGTCATCAAGACATCAACATATATAACGACTCCAGGAGAATACATTTCCGTTTAGCTTACTGGATAGTGGATAATACATCCATTCTGTCACGTTGTCTCCGTAGTACTTTTCCGTTCCTGTTTCGCAATCGAGATGGGGGGGTTGGGGGTGTCAATATTTTGCTGAAGAAATAAAGCGCGTGGCAGGGTGATCCTAATCCTACACGTTTCCACGTAGGCACATTAGTACGCGCGTGCGTTTGTCTCTCGAATTTCACTATGTCAGATATTCACATCACAGACACGTCCTAACTCAAATCACAGACACGGGTTCGACGCGTCACTCTTATCGTGTCTGTGATGACTGCAAATTTGCAGCAGAAACAGACTGCACAAGAAATATATACGGAGTACTATGTGTTCCAAATGGAGGTCTCTAGTCAGTTAAACTTCTTTAACACATGAATATACAAAAACCTATGGAGATGGACAACAGATGGTTGATGTTATACTTTTGACTTATCATAAAAAGTGCTTTTATAATACATTTCTGTTTAAAATGCTATATCTTTTTATCTAAAAATTGTAAGCCAAAGTGTTATATTCAGAAACGTGTCATGTCGTACGGCCCTGTTCGCTTTGCTGAAAAACTATGGCTAAAAGTATTGTTTGTTAATTTGTTGTGAGAGAAAAACACTGTTCGTTCGCTGAAACAGTACGGCTCATAAGACAAGCGGACATGGCCGTTGTCTTAAACAAATTCATCTGGAACAAGAGGAACTTGTCCTCCTTAGGATATTTCCTCCTGTCAGCTGACACTCGCTCCTGTGTCCCAGCATGTTTGTATGAACTCTTTTTTTAATTAATTTATATTTTCAGGGGGGGCCAAAAGCTCCTCCTGTTCTTTCAAAAAAAAAACAAGAGGAACTTGTTTCTGTACAGACTTTTCCTTCCTGCAGCAGCAGATTTCACATAGGAACACATTTGTAAAACTTTTTAGCAATAGGCTCCATAAAAATATAGTACGACTATTACAGATCCCTGCCCCCCCCTCTGGAAGCTTATTGGCCATGCTGTGCCATATGCTCACATGGAGTGTGGATGCATGTATGCGCTTATAATATGAGTATATCACATATCAGAACAATAATGCAGCGTGCGCGTCTTAGCGTGGTCCTGGCCATGTCGCTGACGCTGCGTGCGAGCTCGCGAGTGGCAATGATCCAAAAACCGCCTGAATGACTGAAAGCAAGGTCTGTCAGTCCTCGCATGCATTTAGCCATTTAGGACGTGCATCCAGCGTCCGTGAACTGAACGGCACGCCCACAGGCCTGGTCTTAGCTTATCCCCTCCTGGCGCGGCGCGCGGTGACGCTGGCGCCGGTAGGTGCGGCCGTGGCGTGCTTCACGCGCGGAAATCGGTCGCCGTCGTCGGGCTTGAGCCCATCGAAGCAGGAAGGGTCACCCCTCCTTGGCTCCTTGCACATTGTGAATCACGTATGTGTAGGCGCATGCATCCAAACACAAACCATAATACAATATGCATAAAAACATCGTGAGGCTCGACGGGAGAATAATGAAAGGGTGGCGCTTTAGGTTCAATTCATGCGATTTACGTTTAATGGTCGAACCACTTGTTGCTCTTACGGTTGAAGTTAGTGTGGCGGAGGCAGCTAGCTAGCGGTGCTAGATGTGGCTGACGGGAGCACATGAGATTCTTCGATCTCTGAACTAACACCGTCTGAAAAAAAAGGCATATGAGGTCTAGCAATCAATCAAATAACTAATAATTATCTTAGCATTGGCCAACAAAAGGAACCTCCACGTTAATTTTTAATGTCCAGAAATTACCATATTAACCAGACAAATTAAAATTAGATTGTCGCTATCCATGATGATAAATGTATCCACTGCTGCCACTATGTAAAATATAACCCAAAATATCATAATACATATTCCACCCGTTCCAAATTATAAGACGATTTGACTTTTTTTATTCATTTTACTATATATCTAGACATTATTATATCTAGATGCATAGAATGGATGTATCAAAAAAGTCAAAACGACTTATAATTTAGAATGGAGGGAGTATTTCGCTATTACCCACCACCTATGTCATCATTTAGAAAGCATGCAGCTAACTGCATACTTCATAATTAAATAATTTACTTATATTTGAAGCTGAAATTCAAATTGTACAAAACATATAATAAAAATAGAAACATACATAATACTGCCATGTTGATGAAAATTAGGGCTGCTATGAATCAAAGTTGTTGAGTGATAAACAGATAAACTGAGAGACAACTAGACATTGATGCTCGCTATCTCCGAATTAGACGTACACGATGGTAATAACTTCAGAGGTGCACGAAGCTATAATTGGCCCACATAACACGTACCAATAGCGCACTTCATCTGTGGATAGAGTGGCCCTATTTGCACACCCGCTCAGTTCGCTCCTTGCATTGCGTAAGCTAATAACGTACCATCATACGATTACGAACGTCTCCCCTCCGAACTCAACGGTAGTAGTGCAGAAAAGAGCAAGGTAGCTATCTGCATCAGCATCTCGATCACAGCAAGCAGTCGTTGCAGCGGTACGTATAGTAGCGAGCATGGCTAGCGCGTTATTGGGTTCCATCACCGCGCGGCCCGTGCCGGGCAGCTACGGGGTCCCGGTGTTCGGCGCCCTGCGCGAACCTGGTGATCCTCGTCGGCAGGCTCTTCCTCGTGGAGCTGTTCCTCCGCTACGACACCTTCACCGCCGAGGTCGGCAAAGATCCGCTCGGTGCCAAGGTGGTCTTCACCGGCATCACCAAAGCTACTTCCGGTCCTAGCACTCAGTAAACCTGCACAGCACCGGGCGTCACTTTATTAGCACGCGTGGAAGTGAACGATTTGGGTGGATATTGTGGCATTACTTAGGGCCTGTTTGATTCATTCCTCTCCTCCTAAAATTTCTGTCACATCGAATGTTTGGACATATGTATGGAGTATTAAATATAGACTAATTACGAAATTAATTACATAACTTGCGACTAATTTGTGAGACGAATCTTTTAAGCCTAATTAGTCCATGATTTGACAACGTGGTACTACAGTAAACATGTGCTAACGATAGATTAATTGGGCTTAAAAAATTCGTCTCGAAAATTAGCCTCCATCTATATAATTGGTTTTGTAATTAATTTTTATTTAATACTTCTTATTAGCCTCTAAACATTTGATGTGACATAAATTTTAGAAGCGACTAAAGAAACAAACACCCCTTAGCACTCATCAATCACGCAACTCATTCCTGTCACAATCATGCATACAGTAGATATCGATAATGGAACCACTGTATGCATCTCTCACCGGCGCGGATTGACTTACAGTCCACATAATTGTCATCCCTAGGTGTCTTAAATGTTGTTATTTTTCCATATAAAGCTGATCAAACTTAGAGGGTGTTTGGTTACCCATCCTAAATTTCGTTGTTCTATCGGATATTTGGACACATGCATAAAGTATTAAATATAGACTAATTGTAAAACTAATTACATAGTTTGCGACTAATTTGCGAGACGAATCTTTTGAGCCTAATTAGTCCACGATTTGACAATGTTTAGCTCCAGTAAACATATGCTAATGACGGATTAATTAAGCTTAAAAAAATTCGTCTCGTGGAGTACTGACGGATTATGTAATTTGTTTTTTTATTAGTATCCGAACACCCTATGCAACCTCCTCTCGACACACCTCCTAAATTTTAGTAGCTGGATCCAAACACCCCCTTAAAATAATGTAACTTATGGTGATTTTAAGAGTTGATTTATTTTGAGGTAGATGGTGTATATCTCACTAGATCTATGCTCGTGACATGTAACATAATTATAGAGTCCCCGTAAATCATACAACCACCATATGGACCAATATGAAGCATTGAAATCTATGTGTATGCTAAGCCCATAGTGCACTACTAATATTAATCATATGATGCACACCAAGCTTAAAGTCTTGCTAATTCAAACATTAGTCAAGGCAAATGTACATGTAGGTTATTTCCTTTTTCAATATTTCACAAAAAAACAAGCTGATAAACATTCCATCGAATAGAAACTTAGAATACATCATACAATTCGGTTGAACTCTATCAACTCGATTCGAGCTAGCTTTGTGAGTGAAAATTGTATACTGAGGCCATGTACCATTGGCACTTTGGCAGACAGATGCACCCAACAGGCATACATAAGCATATTTGTCGGATTCATAAACTCGGGGTCCCTCAGGGACCGGCTTCCCAACAAAGGCTCGGCCTAAGCAGACAACGCACAACTCATGGGCCGGCCCGAGTATCTAAAACAATAGGCCAGAAGAGCGATCCAATCACCGATCGGAAGGTCTGGCCGAGGAGGAGCGGCGCCCGTTTTCTGACTCCGGCCCACCTCTCCGACCGGAGCACTCACTTCGGTCTCCAGCCCGCCTCCGAACGGCCTCTCCGACAGGAAGACCTGGCCAAAGCACTACTTCCGACTCCGACCCCACGTCTCCGACCGGGGTACGTCAAAACCCTACTCACCGCTCTTCTCCGTCTAGCGCAATCAGAGCCGACTGGGACCATCCGACCGGGGTCGCCCACTCAGAAAGGACCAGGGAACGAACGGAGAAAGGAAGGCAGGACACACAGGTCAAACCACGATACCAGGAACCGTACCCTGTACACCTGCAGAAACAGTACTCTGCAACCTCCCTGGTACAACAGAGCAAAAACAGTGTTGTAGGCACCGATATTTTTCCCTATAGTATTGTGGGCGTCATTAACTCCCATACGGTGAGGCCCCCCACATGCCTCTGGGCATCGATAGTGTTGTGGGTGCCGGTTTTTACCGTACCGGACGAACATGGTAAAACCCCTTGCATGCCTCCAGGTATCAACAGTGTGGCAGGCGTCGATGTCTGCCATACCCGAAGAAGACAACACCACCTCCCACGTGCATCTAACATTCAACAGTATTATGGACGCCTACCATCATCCTGTACCCGTCGGTGTGGGCAACAAGGCTCAGTAGCATACGTACTCTCTCCCTCTCACTTGTAAGGCCACCCCTTCATTTATAAAAGGAGATGCGCTCTCTCCTAACAAGGAGATTCAAATCATTAGAGATTCATCAGATCAATCAAGTTCACTAGTACACAATCACTGAACCGTCAGGTTCGAACCACAAGCACACGCTTGAACACTTAGCTCATAGCGGGGCTCCCGTCACTCTCGGCCCTTCCGACCGGAGTCCTACCGGACCTCTTGTACCCCCATCTTTCTCCTTCTCGTTTGTAACCCCACTACAAACTTCGAGCACCTGGGCTCAGGAATAAAGTCACCGACCGACTCAAACTAGACGTAGGGTACGTTGCCTGAACCAGTATAAACCCTATGTCATTGAGTGCTATGCCACCTCCGACCACAACGTACGGCAAAACTATAAATATTTACTTGTTGGTCACTTTCTGCATCGACAATATTACTGGGAAAAAGTTATATCTTCAACGTTTATAGAAAAAGTTATATTTTCAATGTTTGACTAGGTTTATAGACAAGTAATTAGAATCAGCATTTATATATTTAAATAATTTATTATAGAATTTATTTCATCATCATCTAATCATACTTATTATGCGTCATAAATATTAGTACTTCTTTTCTTTACATATTTGATCAAAGATTGATTGACTTCTTAAAAAACAAAAATACTCACGCGTATATAATTTTTTTCTCGAATACGCACGCGTATCATTTCATTTAAGAAGAAAGAGTTTATGTTACACATACTCCGGCTGTGCCGGGATTCCGTTGAGGCTAATAATTTAACAACAAAGGAACCGGAGCGGCACAGCCTGCAACTAATACCCTGCTAGCGCTCCCAATCCGGTGGCTCCGGTGTCGATCCAACGTTCTCCTTCGGCCTTAACGATCTGCAGGAGATCGTGGATTGTGGTTGACGAGCCTCGAAAACACCTTGCGTTGCTCCTTCCACACTTGCCAAGACACTAAGCAAATAGCGAGTCCAGACCTCTGTGCCGTTGGCCAGTTGCAAGAGCACGAAGCCGACGCCACCAACTGAACGTGGAGGGTGCTCCCTGTGGAAGATGCATTCCGAGAGCTTGCAGAATGTGAAACCAAAGTTCCCTAGTAAAGGATCACGTGGCGATGATGTGGTCGATAGTTCCATGCTCCTGATCACAAAGGTAGCAAAGGTCCCTTGCATCCAGTCCGTCCCGCGCTCGCCTGTCCTGATGGTGAAAATAATATTTTTATTTTGGACGCAGGGAGTAAGTAAAGATAAAAGATTTTTTTTATTTGCTTCTGATGGATATAAAAATAAAATATACCCACTAGGTAACACGTCATGCGTCTCATCAGAAATTCAGCATCACAGATAAAGTTGATCAGGGCTAAGGGGTGTTCAAATTTAGGGACTAAAATTTAGAGACGTCACGTCAGGTGTCACATGTGATATCATATGAAAGTATTTGGATAGTAATAATAAAATAAATTACACAAGTCCTCAGTAATCCACGAGACGGATTTATTAAGCCTAATTAATCTATCATCAGCATATGTTTACTGTAGCAACACGTTGTCAAATCATGGGTTAATTATGCTTAAAAAATTCGTCTCGCAAATTGATCATAATCTGTATAATTAATTATTTTTTTAATCTATATTTAATACTATATGTATATGTCTAAATATCTGATATGATAAGAAGTAAAGTTTAGAAGAGAGAAGCAAAGTATTAGCTACATTCCATGCATGTGGACAAGTAATCACAGCCGCCTCACCGGCGAAGTCAAGTGTCGCGATACGCATAGAGCCGGGCAGCCGACCAGTAGTACATCTGCACCACCCGGCCTGGTTGTCTGCAGAAATACAAGCACGGAGGGCGTGATTGGTTGCTTCGGTGAGGGAGAGCTGGGATGGAGAGTCGGTCCAGAATGATGAGATGCATGTTTAAATCGTACACTCAGTCATGTTTAGTTGTCTTTGTTGTTAGTTCAGTATGAGATGATATCTTGTTTGGTTGCATACATGAATGTGAGTTTTGAGTGTATGACATATGGATCCCTGCGTCATGCCTGAATCAAACCATCCTGCATAGAGAGGAAATGAAAATTGAAAAGACGAAGTCGTGCGAAATGAAGGAGGACAGATAAATGAAAGGATACAAACGAAACAAAAAGTGTGAAAAGGGCAACCAAACACACCGTATAAATAAGGTCGGACAACTAAACGGTACATAGACATCCGGTTCGACCTACCAATCACGCCCGGAGTGAACCAGAGGCGCTGCTGGAGTAGTAGTGCTTCCGTCTCAGCAGCAAGCCCTCTCCGACCATCCGCAGGCCGCAGCAGTAGCAATAGAAAGATAGATCTGACATGAGGTGTTGCTCTGGGTTTTGTTGTTTATTATTTATGTAATATCAATTTAAAATAGTCTACTAGAATAATCGTTTGGAACCGTCATAAAAAAAATACGTTAGGCCAGTCATAGCTATAAAACCACTTAGGACACTTAACGGAAGGGTGTTGTTTATATAATTACATTTTCCTTCTTAATTATAATGATACGTAAATTTTTTACGTATTCAGAAAAAAAAAATGACATAAAGCGTGGCAGCCGAACAGCCTCCACAGTTGACATGGTGCCTATATTTCGTGAACAATTTGTACGTTTGATGTGAATGAGAACAGCTGCAAGCAACGATCGATGGTCCCCCGCCCCCTTGCAAGAAAACCGGAGCAAAACCATTACGCTACTGCAAGGAAATTTGTTTTCGTTGAATAGTAGCAGTCGGAAACATCGTGTCGAGATCCAGGTGAAAATGCAAGAATGGCACGTGGGTCCTTTTTACTTATCTCTGCAGCGGCGAGGCTGAAACAGTCAAACGCCAGACACGATATTCCTCAAATATTTTGGGTTTAGACGACATCCTAACAATGCTGTTAGCCTGTTACTACCTATTATTAGTACTATATATAGGATCTAACATCGGGTGAACATAAGAAATCACGTCAAGTTGTGCATGATTTCCCCCACTTGCTTAATTAATAGTTGCTTGATCCCAAACTATACATGCAAATGTAGTAGTAGTTTATCGCAGGTGGACGACGACCTTTTTGTTGGGTGTTGAGTAAATCTCGCGATGGACTTGCACTTGCACCCTAAGTTTTTCTGGTTGAAAATTGCAATTCACATCACACGCCCGCCCTTGCTGCCGGTCATCGCACGAACAACGCCAAGCGAGGACATGGACGTACCGCAACTCCGGAAGCACGCTAGATAGCGGGAGAAACGCGTCCCAAGGCGCTACCGTTCTCACCCATGCCACCACTCGATGTCGATCTGCCGCTGCCCCGTGCGACCAGTATACTGTAGCTGGATCGGGCCACAACAGGCCAAGCAAGGGCCCAAGGCGCACGCGGAACACACGTACCAGTAGCACGTGGTCCAAGTTGCCACGGCCTTCTCTCCCGCGCGCCGCGCCATGCCGCGCCCGGGCTATTTCTATTTGTACCCCCGCCCTCGCGTTACCCAAGACGCACTCAACGTCTCCTCCAGTCCTTCGAAAACCTTCAAACGCCCCCTTGCAGTGAAGGGGACGATCGAATTTGAGCAGAGCCCACAGCGATCGATTAGAAAGAAGCGAGCATCCAAGCAGCTAGCTAGCTAGTTGCGATTTGCGAGAGAGGTCGAGTCTCCTTTGTAGGGGATCGGATCGGATCGGAAGCAAGCATCCAAGCCTCCATGGCGAGCTCCGATGGTGGTTCCAGCGCCCCCAAGGAGGTGCCGGGCAGCTACGGGCTGCCGCTGGTGGGCGCCGTGCGCGACCGCCTCGACTTCTACTACTTCCAGGGGCAGGACAAGTACTTCGAGTCCCGCGTGGAGCGCTACGGCTCCACGGTGGTGCGCGTGAACGTGCCGCCGGGCCCCTTCATGGCGCGCGACCCGCGGGTGGTGGCGGTCCTGGACGCCAAGAGCTTCCCTGTGCTCTTCGACATGGACAAGGTGGAGAAGAAGGACCTGTTCACGGGCACCTACATGCCCTCCACCTCCCTCACCGGCGGCTACCGGGTCTGCTCCTACCTGGACCCCTCCGAGCCCACCCACACCAAGGTGAAGCAGCTGCTCTTCTCCCTCCTGCTCTCGCGCAAGGACGACGTCATCCCGACCTTCCGCTCCAACTTCTCCGCGCTGCTCGCCACCGTCGAGTCGGAGCTCGCCAAGGCCGGCAAGGCCGAGTTCAACAAGCTCAACGACGTCACCTCCTTCGACTTCATCGGCGAGGCCTACTTCGGCGTGCGGCCCTCGGCGACGGACCTCGGCAAGGGAGGCCCGACCAAGGCGGCCAAGTGGCTCATCTGGCAGCTCCACCCGCTCGTCACGCTCGGCCTCCCCATGGTCCTCGAGGAGCCGCTGCTGCACACGTTCCACCTCCCGCCCTTCCTCGTCAAGGGCGACTACAAGGCGCTGTACAAGTACTTCTCCACGGCGGCGAAGCAGGCGCTGGACACCGCCGAGGGCCTGGGCCTGTCGCGCGAGGAGGCCTGCCACAACCTGCTCTTCGCCACCACCTTCAACAGCTACGGCGGGCTCAAGGTGCTGTTCCCGGGCCTCCTGGCCAACGTCGCCAGCGCCGGGGAGAAGCTCCACGAGAAGCTGGTCGACGAGATCCGCGGCGCCGTGGCCGAGGCCGGCGGCAAGGTCACCCTGGCGGCGGTGGAGAAGATGGAGCTGGCCAAGTCGGTGGTGTGGGAGTCGCTGCGCCTGGACCCGCCCGTCAAGTTCCAGTACGGGCACGCCAAGAAGGACCTGCAGATCGAGAGCCACGACGCCGTGTTCCAGGTGAAGAAGGGCGAGATGCTGTTCGGCTACCAGCCGTGCGCCACCAGGGACCCCCGCGTGTTCGGCGCCACGGCCAAGGAGTTCGTGCCCGACCGGTTCGTCGGCGAGGAGGGCAGCAAGCTGCTGCAGTACGTGTACTGGTCCAACGGCCGCGAGACCGAGAACCCCAGCGTCGACAACAAGCAGTGCCCCGGCAAGAACTTTGTGGTGCTCGTCGGCAGGCTCTTCCTCGTCGAGCTCTTCCTCCGTTACGACACCTTCACCGCCGAGGTCGGCACGGAGCTGCTCGGCACAAGTGTCGTCTTCACCGGCGTCACCAAAGCTACCTCCGGCCCGGGCAGCGAGTAAAATGCCCGGCGCGTCGTCGTCACTGGTTGGATATGATTGGAGGGTCCCGTTTCCTATATATTTCGTCCCCTTTTTCCGCTTGTAATAAGATGTCTCTCTCTCCTCTTCACGTGTGATTGGAGGCGTTTGACGCTTTTTTAATGCATGCAGGCTGTTCGGGACTAGAAAATAAATTAAAATACTATTTTGATTAATTGTCGTAAGAGAAAATACTGTTCTATCTAAAATCATTGTACACGTAAACAGTATTTTCGTGACTGCACTGACCAGCCCAGCGCCAGCTGGCCAGCCAGCCGAACGCAGTGATGTTGGCATTTGCTCCAGAAATCTTATCTTTCACAGAGAAATCTACGCCACAAGCAGGCACATTATTCTAGCATATCAGCAGATCGACGACCCAATCTCTTAGCAGCCCTGCCTTGCATACTATTCAAGCCCGTTGACGAGACATTATTATTAGCTTCATTAGGTGGGCTGCAGGGAAATGACGCTCTTTACCACGTTGACGACAACACGACGATAGATCTAGATCTTTACCGTTTGCATACTGCCTTCTGTCCGACCTACGTGGGCTCCAGGGGAAATTACGCTCTTTACCACGAACCGTGCACGCACCCAATTCCATTCCCGCGTTCGTTCACCGGTTTCTAATCCAGCGAATGATCGGACCGAACGAGCCCATGTGTCTCCACCATCTTTCTCTTTTTTTTTCTAATTTTTCTACCTTTTTATTTTTTTATACAAGTTATTTCGTACACAGTTTTGTATTCCTGCTAATATGTTATGATATTAAATTATACATCTAAGTTCTTGAATATAACTCGTACGTCCAACTTTACATTTAAGTCATTTCTCAAATTATATATCTAAATTATACAAGCAAGTTATACATATAATTTTCCTTTTTTTGAAAGTTACTAAGTTATACACATAATTTTTATGTATAACTTATTACTACAACTTATATATCACAACTTTTATAATATAACATTTTGCATAGCAGAACTTATTAGCACAAGTTTTTATCAGAACTTTGGTGGCCAGCGTTGGCAAGTTATATGGAATAACTTACGTATATAAATTATAGAATAACTTATGAACATAAGTTGTGTTTCATAATTTTTGCACCTAAGTTGTGTTTTCATAACTTTTGTGTTTCCAAGTTTTGGCATAAGTTATAAGTTAATTCATTCTTTTTATTTAATAACTTTTGTATTTAAGTTGTTGGCATAAGTTATAAGTTAATTCATTTCTTTATGTTTAATAACTTTTATACATAAGTTATGTTTTCATAACTTTTATGTATAAGTTGGAAATTATAAGCTAATATACATAAATCACTACTATAAAAAAATTCTTCGAAATATATATAAGTAGGGTCTAGTTTTGTTTGCCTCGTTACTTAGAACACCCTAGTGCAGATAGAATTGGAAACGGATACACTTGGGTAGATGATCGACAACGCAGAACAGCAATGGCAGAAGGTACCATTAGAATACGCATACGGCTCTGCTAGCACTGCTTGTAGCAACTAGTGTGTTGCAACTAAGGCCCCGTTTAGTTTCATCCAAAATCTAAAAAATTTTGTGCAGTACCCGTCATATCAAATCTTGCGGCACATGTATGGAGTACTAAATGTAGACGAAAAAAAACTAATTACACAGTTGGCCGAGAAATCGTGAGACCAATCTTTTAAGCCTAAATAGTCTATAATTAAACAATTTTTGCCAAATACAAACGAAAGTGCTACAGTAGCCAAAAGCCAAAAAATTTCGAAACTAAACACGCCCTAAATTTTGCTGCTTTTAACTCTACCGTGGTCCACAAGCTACTCGCCTACTCCATATGCCATTTTTCTAACTTTTGTTTCCAACTCTCAAGCGTGCGTGGTCAAACTTTCTGGTACGTTGCCTCCGTCCAAAAAGAAATGAGCATCTTAAAGATTACCTTATTTTTCTTTCCAATTCTTGGTTTTTTTTTGTAAGACAGAAAAAACTTCTCTCCAACAACTTCTAATCCATGCTTCTAAAATTTACATACTTGGAAAATCATCGCGGTCGTGCGGATACTACTTTCCCGTGCGAATCGGTCGGTCAATCCATGGTGGAAGGGTGTGGAAAAGAATAAGGACTAGAAAAGGGTTCCTGATGCAAATGTATGAGAGAACAAGAATATATAAAAGTGGTTAAAATAATTTAGAAATAGCATAGGATTTCTGATGTAAAATTGTCTTCTACATTTTAGGAGTAGATTATTGAAAACTCTTAGAGACGACCTTATTTTTTCCTACTAATACCTTTTTAGGACTTGCAAAACAACTTGTTTTAGAAAGAAAAAATATGATACTTTTGGAGATACTTCCTAAGTTCATAAATGCTTTTTACAGAATAATAGCATCAACATATGTACTTCTATATATGTTTATTATAACAATATTTACTCCCTTTGTTCTAAAATAGATTAATTCTTGGAATCACTATAATTCAAACCGTCTCAAGTTTAACCAACTTTATAGAAAAGAGATTGACCTTTGGGATGGATGGATTAATAATACTCCATAATAAAACTTAAAAGGACAGTAATTTCATGCAGTACGATCCTTTGACGTCTCGGTACAACAACTAATGATAATAATTAAGGATAAGGTTAAAAGGTAGAAAGTGCAAAACTGTTCACGCAAGCATAATATAGCAAGATGCAGCCATACCATACCTAGTGTACGCCGAACTTTACCCCTGTCACACGCGTGTACCTCGCAGGACTTTACTTTTTAACTACTACGTACAACAAACACGTCACGCTCATCGACGAAAATCAGGCTATAAATAAAGTCGCCTAGAGTTGTACTAGTAGAGCTCTAGATAAACTACAATAATCGGAGAGTTGTTGGTGAGCTGCAGGCCCGGTGCACGGTGCGACAAATGATGGATGCATGCATCACATGTCCGTTTATTTCGGCGGTGGCGATGGCAACCCTGTCACCGCCGGCCGGTCCTTTGCGATTAGCCAGCCCATGCCCCATGCCCGTGCCCACCATGCCCTGGTGTGGTGTGGCGAATGGCGGCAGCGGACTGATTGATGCATGCTGTGCTGGAACGGCTGCGCATTGCGTGTTGCGATTGCTAACCAAACATAGTGCGTACTATATATATAATACTAATAATAAGCCAATACAATGATGGGTTAACTATAGCGTCGTCCGGTCGATCTTGTCGCCGAGCTACTCCTACTAACCAAACAAAATCGTCTGGAAAATTTGGCGAAAGTAATAAGAGATGCCCTAGGCCCTAGCCGGCTAGCACTAGCACGTCACCACCTGTAGCAGTACCCAACACATGCCTGCCTGTAGCATCAGATGCAGCGATGCAGGGCACGGTCACGCCTCACGCATAGGAGTACCTGGGGGCTACCTGCTCTGCTCAGTCACGCATAGAGAGACACGCACACAGATGTAGCCGATAAGCCGGCCGACAGAAAAATATTATAGATTTTAGCTAATAAGTCGGTAGATAAGTTAAAACGAAACGAGCCTTTACCTAGCCCACGACTCCACTTCACCAGTGCGGCACTGTCCCGTTGGTAGCAGGCTAGCAGCCAAGATCTTCCGATCGAGCCCGTAGCGCACTGATTGGGGTGTGGGTTCGATCGGATACTCGTACGGAGGTCGCTCTGCGGCTGCGCCAACACCACGTTGATCGGAAGGTGCCATGGCCTCGAGGATTCCTTTTTCTTTTTTTGTGTATTTCAATCCCTGACGATTTGCAGTTGGGCGAGATATGCGTGTCAATTTGGTGCACTGTATCAATTATTTATTTTCATCAGCCTGTGTCGTCGTGTGTGCTTTGTGCTTATGTTCACCGTTAGCTTTGGAGTACTTCTGCTCGTGTCCGTCAATTTTGTTATTTAGGCCTGGTTTAGATTGAGTTTACGAATCAGTATTCGACACTGTAGCAATTTTATTTGTATTTGACAATTATTGTTCAATCATGGTCTAACTAAGCTCAAAAGATTCGTCTCGTAATTTATAATCAAACTGTGTAATTAATTATTTTTTTTATCTATATTTAATACTCCATGTATGTGTTAAAGATTTGATGTGATGGAGAGAGTGAAAAAACTTGCAATCTAAACAAGGCCTTAGAAAAAAAAAAAACTACACAGCGATATGGGCCGTTCTATCGGTTGGGCTGTTGATGGGTCTCTATGGAGCCGCCGTCCGTCCGTGCGATTTCCTTCTCCTGCGCACGCATTCGGCGATGGGACGGCGAACCGACCCAGCGGCATTACGGCAGCTGCGAAGGGGCCCATGCGAATGGAAGCCAATTAATCGGCCGGACGCTAATCTTGCTCAGGACTGGGTTTAGGCAACAAAGAGATACACATACATCATCAAAAATAATGATATGGTATAGAAATTATGAGAAGATAGATGATATGAGTTTCATGCAGACGAAAACCGTATTATTTCCAACGAATTGAAAACTAAGCGAAACTTCACCGAAAGTGTTTTGTTTCATCCCCACGTGCTGAAAACTGAATAAAACTCCACAGGAAATATTTCGTTTCGTAACATCATGCCACGTTAAAATACGTACTACGGAGCACGCTTCCTTTCATCATCCACACCTCACTCTTCGAAAAAATGCAGGAAACTTAGCACTAAGAATAGCTTCAGTAGATAAAAAATCATTTTCTCTCTTGGATAACCCTTTTGCCACATCATCAAATTGTACAACCTAATTAATGCAATAAGCTATTATAGCCAATAGTGTTGGACTGCCCTTATTACTTCTATTCGTGTACCTCCATTTTGTAATGAAAAAAAGTTCATTTTACCTCCCAAACAATTAAAACGGTGTAATTTTTCTTCTCGAACTTTAAATCTAGACTTTTTTTAACAAGCCTTCAAAACCGGACATCCTATGGCGCTCAACTACCAAAACCTTTAAATTAACCCCCTAACTCAGTTTAAAGTGGTTTTCAAACTGGCCGCATCTTTT